GCTTCGGCGCCTCGGCCGCCCTCTGCCCCCGCTCCCACGTGCTGTCCCCGCCGCCGGGGCTCTCTGCCCCGCTGGGTCTGCCCGGGGGCTCCCGGGGCGTGCCAGGAGCCTCGCCGGGCCCGTTGCACACCTGCAGGGTGCTGCCCCACCACTTCTTGGCACGGGCCCGGGGCTGCCCTGCGTCCTCCCCAGACAGGCTGCAGGGTGCACTGTGCTGCACATCCCGGTCCTCGTCCTCGGGCAGGCCGCAGGAGGAGGCGACGCTGGGGCTGCGTGGAGGCGCTGGAGACGCGGGGGTACAGCTCCGTAGGTCGGGCGGCTCCTGGTGGCTTGGATCCGCTGCGCCGCCTGCATCTGCAATAGCGCCCGGGGCGGGGGGCATGGGTGCGGGTGCCACCCCAGTGCCCTCAGGCGCAGGGGCCATCATTTCATCCGGAAGATGAGCAGAGGCCTGGCCGAAACCCAGGCTGCAGGGGACCAGCACCAGGCCCCTGGGGCCTTGGCTGCAGTGCCCGGCCCAGCCCATGCCCAAGGGGACTGGGCCAATGCCCCGTGGACAGAGCCGGGGTGCTTCGGGGTCTCAGCCCCGAGGGACCTCCCCGAACCTGCTCCGACTGCACACGCTCCTCACCCCGTATGAGCTGGGTCGACTTCAGCTCCCCGTCCTCCTCCACCTCCACCCGCTCCTGTCCGTTCTCCACAATCCTGGGAAACGGGCACTCAGATCCTGGCCTGGTGGGGAACAAGTGCCAGCCCCCCTCCATGCACATGCCCCCCCATGTCTTCCTTTCACACACACGGGCACTTGTGTGCATGCATGCGCAGCCCCTGCTCCCCTTTTCCCCTTCCACGTGCACACTGCCCCCCCAACACAAGGCCCCATTCACCACCCCCACACTGCCCTCACTCCCCCTCCCAACCCTGCCCCCCACAACACTGCCCTCTGCGTGGCCAGGCCCCCGGGCCACGGCACAGCCCAGCCCCTGCATAGGACAGCTGGCTCCAGCCCACGCAGCCGAGAGGGGGAGCCGCGACCCCTGCAGACGGCCAGCCCAAGCACGGCCCCGAGCCCCTGCAAAGGCACCGGGGAGCTGGGCTCCCCCCGAGACACCCCCTCTCTGGGGTGGGTGGGCAGGCAGCGCCCACACCCCGACCTCCAGGGCCCCGTGCACAGCCCGCCATGGGGCCCCCTGCGTGCAGCCACCCCACGCCTGCTTGGACCTGCATGGTTCAGGGGCCGAAGGGCCCTATTTAGGGACCGCAGCCAGGCAGGGAAGTGAGACCAGCTGCAGGTGGCAGCCGGAGCCCCCAGCACTCGGGACCGGCTCAGGCCAGCCCGACGTGGCCTCACCTGTTGGTGGTGACGCGCTTGCCGTTGACGAAGGTGGTGGAGCTGGAGACGGAGCGGAAGCCGACTCCCGCGTCGGAGCCGAAGGATGAGAAGAAATCTGCAAGACAGGGCCGTGGCTGGGGGCTCGGAGGGGCACGAGGGACCGGCAGGGAGGCACCAGGGACGTCCCCATGTGGCCCAGACCCGGTGGCGGATGCACAGGGCCTGCAGGGTGGGTGCGATGGCACGAGGGACCGGGCAGCATGGGGATGACCCAGCCTGGCCTGCATGGCAGCCCTTACCTGCCTGCCTGGGGAAGGCGTAGGAGCAGAAGGAGTAAGTCACCGAGGGCCCCCCTGGGCCGTGGGCTCGGGGCCCCCCTGCCGGCCGGTCCCCAAACAGGCCCATGTCATCTGGGAAGCAGGGCGAGGCCGTGAGGGCAGAGCTCGGTGCCAGCTGCAGCCCTGAGACTGCCTTATCGCCCTGGGGCTGCCCGGGCTGACGCAGACACACCCTGCGCTCGCTCCTGGCTCGGCTCAGCACGGAGAAGGCAAAGCAGTTCCAGTGTGAGCACACACGTGTGTGCTCAAACACTCATGTGCACCAGCACACACACGTGTGCCCACACAAAGCCCAGTTATGATGGGCAGCAACCCCAGCTCGGATCAGGATGTCTGGGCAGTTCGAGCACCTTTTGGCCCCTTCCAGGCCAGGCACAGAGCAGGCGACAGGCAGCCCCGAGCCGCCCTCGCTGGCTGCACATCCCCAGCCTCCACACCCTCACGGGGGCTGGACCCGCCGGAGGACGCAGGACATGGCCCCCACTCACCAAACAAGTCAGCGAAAGGATCCCGGCCACCAAAGACCTCCCTGAAGACCTCGTCCGCCCCGCGGAAGGTAAAGGTGAAGCCCGGAGCGCCTGTCCTGGCCCGGGGGTCACCTGTCCCTGCGGGGAAACCAGACGCGGGTGATTGCAGACCCTCGCCAGCCCGGGGAAGGGCATCAGGAGTGATCCACGTGTCTCGGCCTCGGGGCTAGGGTCAGGCACGCCCAAGGGCACCTGCATCTCCAGGGCTGGGACTTGCCCGCCGGACACCGGCCCGGTCATGTGGAGACCCTGAACCGCCCGG